TCACAAGGTCAGGAGTTTGAGACCAGCCTGGGCAACGTGGTAAAACCCCCATCTCTTGATCCACCTGCCTCGGCCTCCCAAAGTGCTGGGATTAAAGGCTTGAGCCACTACGGAGGTTGCGGTGAGCTGAGATCACGCCATTGCATTCCAGTCTGGGTAACAAGTGCGAAACTCCATCTCAAAAAAAACAAAACAAAAACCCATCTCTACTAAAAATACAAAAATTAGCTGGGTGTCGTGGCAGGTGCCTATAATCCCAGCTACTCAGGAGGCTGAGGCAGGAGAATTGCCTGAACCTGGGAGGCAGAGGTTACAGTGAGCCAAGATTGTGCCATTGCACTCCAGCCGGGGCAACAGAGTGAGACTTCATCTCAAAAAAAGAAAACAAGCAACACGTTAGTAAACCATCTTAGTGTAAGAGTATTAACTCAAAGACAGAAGACTTTTTTAAAAGAAAATCTCCTTGTGTTAAATAATTTTATCAAACAGTATGCTAAAAATGAATTTGCCTTTTAAATAAGATAGAATTTGTCACTTTCATTCTCTCCACAAATGAAGACAGGCATTTGATGAATATTTATGATGGCCGTAGTTAATAAATATTATTCATTAACTATGTATTTAGTACTGGGTTTCAGAACTGAGTCATGAGATACGTTTAGTCATAACAGAATAACATGTTTTGTCATTACAAATGACCACTTTCTGTTAGCCCCTCAGAATGTCAATATCCATACAGAATTTTTAACTTCTTTTATAAAATGTCCTTTCAGAGCAGAGACAGAAAGTTATTTGACAAGCTGTGACCAAACGACACAGATAGATATATTTTTATTTATTTATCTTTATTGATTTATTTATTTGAGACAGTCTCGCTCTGTCACCCAGGCTGGAGTGCAGTAGCACCATGCTGGCTCACTGCAACCTCCACCTTCTTCATTCAAGCAATTCTCCTGCCTTAGCCTCCCAAATAGCTGGGATTATAGTCACCTGCCACCACACCCAGCTAATTTTTGTAGAGATGGGGGTTTTACCACATTGCCCAGGCTGGTCTGGAACTCCTGACCTCAAGTGATCTGCCCGCCTTGGCCTCTCAAAGTGCTGGGATTATGGATGTGAGTCACCATGCCTGTCCAGTTGATGTTATTACCACATTCAGAGGTCAGCCTTCAACAGCCTTCTGAAAAACAGCCCCAGACCCAAAAGTGCAAAAAGGGAGGAGAGAGTGTTTAGTATTCAATAATTTATAGGGTTTTCTTGTTTTTATCTTTTTATAGAGATGGGATCTCACTATGTTGCCCAGGCTGGTCTCAAACTCATGCTCAAGCAATTCTTTTGCCTCAGACTTCCCAAAGGCATGAGCCAGCATACCAGGCTGGGAGTTTTGGTTACTGGCCAGGGTATTGTAAAGTTACCCAGGTGACTCTAAAGTACAGCCAGGTTAAAGCCCATTGACCCAGGCAAACTCCTACTGAGGCCAAGGGGTACACTTCAAGTCTGCTGCCTTTCTGCAGATGAAAGCTTTCCAGAGGCCTCCAACAACCACAGCAAATAAACAACGAACCCTCTATGAAAAAAAAAATTTTCAGAATTTTCCTTGGATGGGTGGGTGGGGACAGGGCCAGGTGGGTTTATAGGGTGCTGAGAATAAGAATTTAGCCTTTTCAAAGAACAGAATAAAACTTGAAATATGTAAGATCGACCATCCCATAATACGGGTGTGGTGTAATCCCTTAATTGATGTTGTACCTTTGGCCTAGTTAGTATGCTTTGTCCCAGTGTTTGGGACTATGTTCTCTTGACCATCCTGTCCTTGGTTGAATATTCAGCAAGATGACCACCATTATTTAGAATTCTTCTGAGAGAGTAGCCCCAAAACTGAGGATTTGGCACACTCCCTCTTTTCTCTTTGCCCATGGTGTTGCAATTTAAAGTGCTTCTGTGTTGTGTCTTCTCTTCCTTTGGGAATTTCCTCTGGAGCAGATTAATCATTATGCAAATATTAAATACTCTGAACATTCTAGAAAGGAAGGGAATTTGTTTAAGCAATCCTGTTACTGCCCTTTAAGTGAGAGATAACAAACAGCTGTTGTGATTTGTCCTGCATTCAAATTCTGTGCCGTTTGCATTATATCAAATTATATTCAATTTTTCCTTGAGATTCAGATGTACCTCTGCCAAAACTTCTGGATTCCCATGAATCTTCAAACACATCAACCATCACCCAGGCTGTTTGCACCCGCTCGGAGACCTAAAGGCTACTCTGGGAAAGATAGATTAAAACATTTCTCTCTCGGAATGTTAGTTTGACTGAGATGTTATTTAGATTCTTTAAATAGCCTAAATGCTTGGAGTGATTGGAAAGGAAATGCTGCAGTCTAATGTTCCTAATAAATAGGGGAAGTCATGCTCTCTCAGGCACAGCCCTAAGGGAAAAACAAAGTCCTCACTTTGTCCTGAAGGTCAAAACTCCATGGCTTGGCTTGTCGTATTCTCCCTCTGTGTCCTTGTGAGTTTCTAAACGATAGACTACGAGTTAATAATTCCCTATATTAAAATTCCCTGTTCAAATCACCATGTGGTTTCTCTCTTGGGGTCTGACCCATACTGATATGGGATCCTTGCTAAACACTGAACGCCCCAAGGGCAAAAGGTAGTGCTGCAGCGCTGGGCCCAGGGTGAGGCAAGTGAGGCACGAGCTTTCGTGGATTGCAGGTCATTCAAGTGCAAGGTCACCTGGGGGTGAATGCCTTCCTGAACAATGTACCTTAGGTCCATTGCTTGCCTCACCCTCATCTATACCCTGCTCTGCCATTTTCCTTCCTTCTTTCTTTCTTTTATTTTATTTACTTTTTTATTTTGACAGAGTATTTCACTCTTGTTGCCCAGGCTGGAGTGCAATGACGCAATCTCAGCTCACCGCAACCTCCGCCTCCCAGGTCCAAGCGATTCTCCTGACTCAGCCTCCTAAGTAGCTGGGATTACAGGTGCCCACCACCACACTCAGCTAATTTTTGTTTCTTTTCTTTCTTTTTTTTTTTTTGAGACAGAGTCTCACTCTGTAGCCCAGGCTGGAGTGTAGTGGTGCGATCTTGGCTCACTGCAACCTCCGCCTCCCAGGTTCAAGCAATTCTCCTGCCTCAGCTGCCCCAGTAGCTAGGACTACAGGTACTTGCCACCACGCCCTGCTAATTTTTTGTATTTTTAGTAAAAACAGCGTTTCACCGTGTTAGCCAGGATGGTCTCAATCTTTTGACCTCGTGATCCACCCACCTCAGCCTCCCAAAGTGCTTGGGATTACAGGCATGAGCCACTGTGCCTGGCCTCAGCCTAGCCAACAGGGTGAAACCCCGTCTCTACTGAAAATACAAAAACTTGCTGGGTGTGGTGGCAAGTGCCTGTAGTCTCAGCTACTCTGGAGGCTGAGGCAGGTGAATCACTTGAACCCAGGAAGCAGACGTTGCAGTGAGCTGAGATCGTGCCATTGCACTTCAGCCTGGGCGACAACAGTGAAACGCTGTCTCAAAAACGAAAGAAAGAAAGAAACCACCAGGCACAGTGATGCACACCTGCAATCCCGGCTACTTGGGAGGCTAAGGCAGGAGGATTGCTTCAGCCCGGGAGTTCAAAGCTGGAGTGCACTATGGTCACACCTATGAATAGTCACTGCACTCCAGCCTGGGGAACATAGCAAGACTCCATCAAAAAAAAAAAAGAAAAAGAAAAAAAGAAAGAAAGGAAGGAAGGAAGGAAGGAAGGAAGGAAGGAAGGAAGGAAGGAAGGAAGGAAGGAAGGAAGGAAGGAGGGAGGGAAGGAAGGAAGGAAGGAAAGAGAGACAAAGAGAAAGATAAGGGAGGGGAGGGGAGGGGAAGGGAGGGAGTCTGAAGATTAGGTATCTTTCAGCCAGAGTAATGAAGTCAAGACCATCATCCTCAACTGTGCCCTTGACCTGCTACTGCTGACTTTGCCCAGTTCCCAGGAATTCATGTTCTGCCTGCACAAAAAAAAAAAAAAAAAAAAAAAAATCACAGTTTCTATAGAGCATTTCTAAAACTAAGCAAATGTGACCTGAATTCCTTTATAAAACACTAGCTACCATATAGGCCAGATTCAACCAGCTTTTATGCACATCTGGAAATTTTAACAGAAATATGGAAGTACTACCAAACATGATCAACTTACTATATTACATCTCTAAAACACTTCTGCCAGATGATTAACTGCAGAAAATGTTCTTGGATTTTATGTCATCCTTAGCCCAATACGTGAAACTCTCACAGCAAAGAGTCTAACACAGAGTGGGCAATCACCAAATATTAGCTCCTTTATCTTTCCCTTCCTCTAGTGCAAGTTGTAGAAATTAAACAGTGAGCTAAGCAAGCAGATCAGGTGAGAACCCTTGGAACGCAGGTTAACCAAAAACAACAGGATACAGGCTAATTATCGATGGGCGTGGTTCATGGCCCCCTCCAACCACGTTTCGATGGATGATATTGCCAGTTTCACCCAGGAACTAACTTTGGCCCAGAGCCTTTAGTTCACTTGACCAGGGACTTTGCATAACAGAGAAGTGACTCCCAGCCAATCGATACACTTTCCACATTCCCTTTAAACAAGCCTTGTGTTGGTATTAAGATAAGCCGCTAAGGGTAACTAAGGGATAGGGCTGGAAACTATGAGACAAGGACAGGAAAAGTAGACTACATAAATAGGAGGCCCTGGAAGAACTTTAGGAGCAGCCCCAGGGTATGGCTTTGAGGAGAAGGCGGAGGGAAGCAGGGAATGTATATTATGACATATCAGTTTTGATACCTGTGTTCCAAAAAGAGTATTTATGACATTTGAGCACATATTTATTGGTTTGGGAAGGAGTAATAGTGAGATGATATGCTAAGCACTTTGCCTGGTGCATAGGAAATAAGTGGGCAACAAGAAAGTGCTGCCACTATCATTAGAATGAAGACTTTACTCTCTATTATTTGGTTTGTTAAAGACGTTACAGGGCGAGCTGCTAAGGTGGGTATCATGGTAGGCTGAAAAATGGCCCTCCCGAAGATAGCAGCTTATTTTCCTGGAACCTGTAAAAGTTATCTTTATTGGAAAAAAAAAAAAAAAAAAAGGCAGGGGGGTGCTTTGTAGATGAGAGTAAGTTAAAACACTTAAAATGGGGAGATTGTCTTGGATTATTTGGGTGGACCTTAAAAAATGCAATCACGAGTGATAAGACAGAGGAAGATTTCACACCACACACACACAGGCAAGGTGAAAATAGCAAAGACAGACATTTGAAGATGCTTCCCTTGAAGATTCTAGCGACAAAGTCACAAGCCAAGAAATGCCAGCAGCTACCAGAAGCTTGAAAAAGCAATGAGCAGCTTCTCTCCCAGAGCCTCTGGAGGGAGCTCATCCTTGCCAACACCTGGATTTCAGCCCAGTGATTCAGACTTCTGGCCTCCAGAACTAGGCAAGAATACGTTTAGATTGCTTTACGTTACCAAGTCCATGGTGATCTGTTACAGTAGGCAGAGGAAACTAATCCAGGTATGAACTGGCTTTTCAGCCTAGCAAGACTCATCAGTAAATAACTGCCCAGCAAGAGTGAGATATGCTGTTCTAGCTAACAGCTATTAATTGAATTATGCAGTTGCAAAGATATAGACAATGGTGCTGATAGGGAGCCTTTATTTTTAGCAGTTCCAATTTCTGTGATGCACGTACTCCCGCCATGGCCCAATTTGAAAGGTTTAACATCTGGCTTGCAAAATTCCTTACCATTTTAATAATCTGCTTGCACAAGCCAGAAGGAGCCACCTCCAGCCCCTCCCGGGAGAGGTGCTTTAAATCATGAGAGAAACTGCTCTAAAACTGTATTGAGCATAATTTAATTTCTCCTTGATAATTCTGAAGGGCACTTCATGGTATTGTAGCTCCTGAGAGTCAGCATGGGGAACATTAATTACTGTTGCACTGCATACATGCAGAGTTGCTAATCAACGGCATGGGGGTAGACAGTTTTCCAAAGCTGATGGGATGAGAAGGAAGACGCAGAACCAGAATGTCCTAGAGACTGTCAGTTGCATGCTTTTATTCCTTAGAGAACTCTGGAAGGAATCCAGCAGAGGCCATCACATCCTTAGGTAAATTTATTATGGTATAAATTGTAATTGCAGTGACAGAAATCTTTATCATTTTTTTCCAATGGCATAAGGCTTTGTATCTTTCAAAGTGAATTGGATTTTTACCTTAAGCAAAATAGAATAGAGGCTTTATCTCAACCAGAAACAAATTAAGTGTGTAAAATTCAGTCTCTCTCTTCAGCCCCATGCTACTGACTTCTGTATAGCAGTCCAGCTGTATTTATCTGTGGCTTGGGAAATTTTCTTGGTTCCTGGGAAGAAAGTTAACTAAAACATATGATATCTCTGGCAGCAGTCACAATTTCACACAAAAACTTTCTTGCAATAACTTCACATATTTCTTCCCCTGCTGGAATCACTATCTCTGGGGAAAGCTTGGGTCTAAAATGACAACTATATTGAATGAAAGTGAGGGCTGAATGCTAAATCCAGCAGCTTGTATCTCTCTAGAAGTCTTCAACTTCAAATCACTTTTTATGGATGACATTATGACAGAGACAAATTCTAGATTGTTTTCTTTTTCTGCTTTGAAAGCGTAAAAATTGTTGTAAAACTTCTCAAGTAGCCAGGCATGGTGACGCATCTGTAGTTTCAGTGACTCAAGAGGCTGAGGCAAAAGGTTTCAGCCCAGAGGTTCAAATCCAGCCTGGGCAACATAGTGAGACCCCCCCCAACCCCCACACATACCAATCTCAAAATAAACAAACAAAAAACCTTCTCAAGTAAAATAAATAAGAAAATACAGTTACTACTCTGGCAACTCAACAATATTCCCTATAGATGATGGAGTGTTTGCTATTTACAGGAAATTGGAGGTGGGGTGGTTACTGGAGAGTGGGTTGACAGAGATTGGTGGGTTATGTGATTTAATCCTGAAATAGAATGGTTACAAGAATCAATGTTTTCAAATTTCAAATACTGTCTTGCTTTTGCCTTTGTGTATATATATACATAAAAACAAATGCAAAACAGTTATTAGCTATCCTTTCTAGAGATAGCAAGGACAGCTAATCAACTCTTTCAACATTTCAGCATCAAAGGATAAGGAAATCACCTGTGTTTTAATACAGACATGGCTCAAGCCCTTTATGCTGCTGTGTAAAAGATTTTTAGAGCACATTTGTTGATAATTACAGTGATGAGATGGTATTAAAAGGCTTGACAAGTCAGTTTCCATAGCAGTGCCTATAGTCCCAGCTACTCAGGAGGCTGAGGCAGGAGGATAGAGTGAGCCCAGGAGTTCAAGTCCAGCCTGGGCAGCAAAGCAAGACCGTCTCTAAAACAAAACAAAACAAAATACAGGCTTGACAACCACCTACTGAAGGCAACATGACCATTACTTATAGGAAGGAGAGGATCAGAGCTAGGAGAGTGAAGGACTCGATTTATGAAGCTTCAGTCCCTTTTTTACCGGCACGGAAGAGAGACAGTTCAAGTCCTCTAATTGTTCCATAGGCTTTGTCATATAAGAATGGATAATTTGCTACAAGCTTGAAATGGCTTGTAGCAATTTACCTAATATTGCTACTGTACTGACTAATCATCTTACTTGTGAAACTATACCTTGCAGAGAACTTTAAGAAAACCGCTGGGCATGATGGCTCTTGCCTATAATCCCAGCATTTTGGGGGACCAAGGTGGGGAGATCCCTTGAAGCCAGGAGTTTGACACCAGGCTGGGCAACACAGCAAGATCCTGTCTCTACATAAAATAAAAAATAAGAAAAGTTAGCCAGGCATGGTGACTATGCCTGTAGTCCTAGCTACTTGGGAGGCTGAGGCAGAAGGACCCTTGCAGTGAGCTATGATTGCTCTGCGCTACAGCCTGGGTGACAGAGCAAGATCCTGTCTCTTAAAAAAAGAGAAAAGAAAAGAAGAAGAAAGGAAAAAAAACCTTTGCAGTACACATTTTCATAAGCCCAAAAGTTACTTCCTTCCATTTCTTGCAAGGCTACAAGAACCCAAATGTCTGCCTGTTACAATTTCAAACAACACTTTTCTACAAGTGAACTATGTTGAAGCACCCCTAAAAAGACCGTAATAATGGCCTATCAAGTACTTATATGAGGTAGCAGGAAGAAGAAAGAGACAGTACAGAGAAATAATAATCCACACATAATCCAGTAATGCAAGCTCTGAAATTCAAACACTTCATTTCAATTGCTTCCCCCAAAATTCCATACCATGTTCTTGCTTTTGGGAAAAGTCAGTGACAAGAAATGAGATGGTCATATAACAGCAGCAAAAATGTAATCTGGAGAAATAATGACTTTGTAATATTCCCAAGCCAAAGACACAAACCTGAGTAGTGAGAGGAACATGGTCTTGGATTAGGATATAGACCAAGGTTTAAATCCTGGCTGGCCAGTTGTAAGCTATGTAATAACCTTGGGCAATTCATCTAATTCCTGAGTCTTAATTTCCTCATTTCTTACATTTGGTAATTGTGCCTAACTGAGAAGATGCACAGTAGAAACTCAATAGTAACTCTAATTATCATGCAACTGGCAGGAAGGTCCACTGTGTGGGTTTCTTTCAGGCTGTGAGTAAGTGGACATGGATTTCTGTAGCTGGTTTCTGCCAGAGGATATGAGTATTTCGAGAAGCAGGAAGGGCTGGAGGTGTGTGAAATCTCCCCCGCGCCTGCACTTCATTTGTACAACGCTCATCGTCACTGGAGAAGTCTCCTGGCTGTGGCTAAGCCTTCGATGAGATGATTTGCATCACTCACATACCCAGCTGGGTGGGGGAAGCCCAGACATTCTCACTCTGCCCCTCAACCAGCTTGCTGCCAGATTTCCTCTAGCTTCACCACAAAAGAGGTCATCTGGGGAGCAGGCATCACACGGTAGCAACAGGCCTTGCCAATGATGACATCATAGGTTATATGGCCCACTCTGTTTATCTTGCACTGAGAGGCAGGACAACACAGTAAGGAGCACAGGTTTTTTAGTTTGTTTTTTGTTTTGTTTCTGAGACAGAGTCAAGTCAAACAGACCTATTTTCAAAGTCTGTTTCTATCCTGTGCCTGTAATCCCAGCACTTTGGTAGGCAGAGGTGGGGATGGGGGAATCTCCTGAGGTCAGGAGTTAGAGACCAGCTTGGCCAACATGATGAAACCCCATCTCTACTAAAAATGCAAAAATTAGCCAGGCATGGTGATGTATGCCTATAATCCCAGTTATTCCAGAGGCCGAGGCAGGAGAATCACTTGAACCCAAGAGGCAGAGGTTGCAGTGAGCCAAGATCATGCCACTGCATTCCAGTCTGGGTGACAAGACACTGTCTGAAAAAAAAACGATGAAAGGAAAATTAGGATCTCTAAGAGGTATCTGTACTCTCATGTTCATTGCAGCATTATTCACAATAGCCCAGATATAAAAACAATCTAAATGTCCATTGACAGATGAATGGATGAAGAAAATACAGTATACATACACAACAGAATATTATTCTGCCTTCAAAACAAAAGGAAATCCTGTCATTTGCAACATTAATGAAACTAAAGAACATTAAGCTAAGTAAACTATGCCAGACACAGAAAAGCAAATACTGTGTTGATCTCTCTTATATGTGGAAACTAAAGTAGTCAAACTCAAGAACAGCAGAGAGTGGAATGTTGGTTGCCATGGAGGGATAGGGGAATGGGGAGATGTTGTAAAGGGGTACAAAGTTCCAGTTATGCAAATTAATAAATTATGGAGATCTATTATACAACGATGTGACTACAATTAGCAACACTATATTGTATACTTGAAATCTGCTAAGGAGGTGGATCGTTAAGTGTTCTCACAGCCAAAAAAGAAAGAAAGAAGAGAAAGAAAGGGAGAAAGAAAGAGAGAACAAAAGAAAATGGTGGCTGGGCATGGTGGCTCACGCCTGTAACCCCAGCACTTTGGTAGCCCGAGGCAGGCAGATCACAAGGTGAGGAGTTCGAGAACAGCTTAGCCAATATGGTGAAACCCCATCTCTACTACAAATACAAAAATTAGCCTTAGCCAAGCGTGGTGGTGGGTGTCTTCAGTCCCAGCTACTCGGGAGGCTGAGGCAGGAGAATTGCTTGAACCCAGGAGGTGTAGGTTGCAGTGAGCTGAGATTGTACCACTGCACTCCAGCCTGGGTGACAAGGAAAGATTCCATCTCAAAAAAAAAAAAAAAAAAGAAAATGGTAAGAGGTGATGGATATGTACATGATATATATATAGGATGTATATGCATATTATATATTTGATTTGATATGGATATATCCATATAAGCATATATATGATATGTGTGTATATCCATATATGGATATCTGCACATATATGCATATCAAACAATCACACTGTACACTTTAAATATGTACAATTTTCAATTGTCAATTATACCTCAATATGGGAAAAAGTCTTGGCATGAAGAAGATGCTCAATAAATGGTAATGTTATTATCTTTGATTGGTTTGTCTTTGGATAAATTTCTGTGGCCTAAATGAAAAAGCATATTCAAGGCATATATCCAGATATTTGTAAGAGCAGAGGGATGTTCTTAATCCAAATTATATGTACCAATATTGCTCACTTGAGTGGAAGGAAATTATAGAATGGAGAATTAACTTTCTAATGACTAGACAAAATTAGTTGAGTAAATTACCCAATCAGTTCAGGGGAAGAAAAAAACTTGATTCAAAGGGTTTTTTCCCGTCTGTGGGTTCATTTTATTACTGCAATGCTCTCATTTGTTTTAGTTATAAAGACATGGCCATTTCATTTTCAGTTTCACCCAGGAACTAGAACTATATTTTGAATAGGGGCAATTGGATTTAAAAAATCACTTTTGTACAACTAGAACTCATTTACAGCTAGTTATTCAAATATCCAGTGACAGCATAATAAAAATTTAGGACCTCCATTTAATTAAACACTCCAGTTTACAATTCCCTGGAAGTAGTAGCACATACTTCGAAACTGCTCTCTTTTGTCTTTTTAAAATAGCATCTAACATTAAGACAGTAATTTATTAAGGAATAACTTGATGATCTGAAAGTGCTGATGTGATTTCAAAATGTCTTTAGAATGAATCCAATTCAACAAGGCTTATATGCACAGATTTGGAGAATAAGGAGCTTTTCGTAGGGTTTTCATAGCCCTCTCAAAATGGCAAATGAAGATAAATTGCAGAAATAAGGACTGCATGTTGCAATCAAAAGGGAACCTGTCCACAGACTGAAACAAACTTGGAAAACAAATGAATGAAAGATTAAACAATGAAATCTAAGTAATATTTCTTGTTCCCCTATGATTAAAGCCTGACAAGGACCATGAGTCAAACAGTAAAATCTACACTAGTTACAGTAGACCTCATTGGGTTTAGGCTTTGGTAAACCACAGCTGCCTCCAATCTACCATTGAAACGTGTTTTAGGGAAATGAAACTAGCCACCACTTCCTTTCATGCATGTGATATATTATTCATAAGCAAGCCCTTATGACAGAAGAGAGCATTCTTAAGATGGTCTAATGTCTTTTTTATATTCAACAATGCAATCCCCCTATATTTTTTACCTAACTTACAACATATTCAAGAATTTTCCATCATGTGCTTAACTTTAAATTTTCAGATGGCTTTCTTTATCTAATTTAGCAGCTTTATCAATGCATTAGTCCAAACATATAGATGGGAGCTTCCCCAAATATGTACCAAAAAGCTCATGATATAAATTGGAGGAATCGTAGTATAGGACCACCTAATAATAGTAAAGCCAGTGTTTATTTAATATTTACTATTTACTGAACATTGGGCTAAGCACTTTTGAAGAGTTATTTTGTTTAATCAGCAATCCCAACAAGACAAAATTCCAGTGTCCCAGATGATAAGACTAGCAAAACTTCAAAATTCTAACAGTTAATAAAAAATTAAATCCCTAAATGAGAATAAGTTTTTCATGGGTGATTTCCGGGTAATTTATAAAGTTTAAGTTTTCCTAAAATTAATTGTAAACTGATACATATTAATCAAACATAGCAAATGTCTACAGTCAAATTTTAAGTGATTTCTCTGCTTTATCAGCCATTTATATCAGCTTTTATATGAAACTTCTTTTCATAGATGCAGTTGAAGACAAAGGATAAAAGCCCCTTTTTCATGGCACAGTGGCTCACACCTGTAATCCCAGCACTTGGGGAGGCTGAGGCTGGCAGTTCACTTTAGGTCAGGAGTTCAAGACCAGCCTGGCCAACATGGTAAAACCCCATTTCTAATAAAAGTACAAAAATTAGCAAGACATGATCATGTCTGCCTGTAATCCCAGCTACTCCGAAGGCTGAGGCAGGACAAATACTTGAACCTGGGAGGCAGAGGTTGCAATGAGCTGAGATTGTACCACTGCACTCCAGCCTGGGTGATAGAGTGAGAATCCATCTCAGAAAAAAAAAAAAGAGAGAGAGAAAGAAATCCTCTGCCAACTGTAAAAGATCTTCAATGATTTTGGGCCATTCATTCATTCCTCAGACTTAACCACTGCCTGTGCACCATGCCCTGGGGATACAAATTAAACATGAGCTCCACCTTCAAAACACATTTAGCTTGCTGAGAGAGATAGAAACAAACCATAGCAAATATAGTGCACAATATCATATAACAGAGGTAGGGAGAATGAAGGTCAAAAGGAGGAAGTAATTGGAAAAAAAGGCAATTTTTGGAAGGCTTCACAGAAGCTATGACACTACAAGTAGCATTTTTTTTTGTGTGTGTGAGACAGAGGCTCACTCTCTTGCCCAGGCTGGAGTGCAGTGGCGTAATCTCAGCTCACTGCAACCTCTGCCTCCTGGGTTCAAGCAATTCTCCTGTCTCAGCCTCCTGGGTAGGTGGGACTATAGGCACATCCCACCACGCCCAGCTAATTTTTGTATTTTTGGTAGAGATAGGGTTTCACCATACTGGTCAGGCTGGTCTCGAACTCCTGACCCCAGGCCTCCCAAAGTGCTGAAATTACAGGCATAAGCCACCTTGCCGGACCCAAATGTAGCGTCTTAAACATAGATGAAAATCTGTGATGTTCAGTAAGTTCACTCCACTTTTTTTCTCAGAAAATGAATTGCCTTTTCATTAATTTTTTTTCTTTTTTTTTTTACCTTTTAAAAAAATTTTTTTGAGACAGAGTCTTGCACTGTTGCCCAGACTGGAGTGCAATGGCACAATCTCAGCTTATTGCAACCTCTGCCTCCCAGGTTCATGTGATTCTCCTGCCTCAGCTTCCCAAGTCACCGGGATTACAGGCGTGCACGACCACACTTGGCTAATTTTTGTATTTTTTGTAGAGACAGGGTTTCACCATGTTGGTCAGGCTGGTCTCAAACACCTGAACTCAAGTGATCCTCCCACCTCAGCCTCCCAAAGTGCTAGGATTACAAGCATGAGCCACCATGTCCAGCCAAAAGATGAAAAAGGCATAGAATTATATTATCTAATTTACCTACTATTTTATGTCCTATTTCTGACTTTCTGTGTCTTCTAGCACTTATCTTGGCTTAATTTTTTTCTTTTAAGTTCCAAAGGCTTGTGATGCAACCCAGTGATGCTACACCTAGGCATATAACTCTCACAAGGAGACAGGTACAAGAACATTTATCATGCATTGTTTGTAAGGAAAAAATAATGAAAACAATTTAAAGATCCATCAACAAAAGAATGGATAAACTGTGGTCTTTTTATACAATGAAATACTATCTAGCAGTTTAAATTAACTAGAAGATATGTATCAGCCTGACGTGGTGGCTCACGCTTGTAATCCTAGCACTTTAGGAGGCTGAGGCGGGTGGATCACTTGAGACCAGGAGTTCAAGACTAGCCTGGCCAACATGGCGAAACCCTGTCTCTACTAAAAAAATTAAAATTAGCCAGGCATGGTGGTATGCACCTGTAATCCCAGCGACTCGGGAGGCTGAGGCAGGAGAATCACTTGAACCTGGGAGGTGGAGGGTGCAGTGAGCCAAGATCATGCCACTGCACTCCAGCCTGGGAGACAGAGCAAGACTCCATCTAAAAAAAAAGAAAGAAAGAAAAAAAGAAAAGAAAATGATATGTATTAAAGGCCAAGCATGGTGGATCACACTTGAAATTCCAGCACTTTGGGAGACTGAGACCAGTGGGTCATTTGAGCCAAGGAGTTCACAACCAGCCTGGGCCACATGTGAAATCCTATCTCTACAAAAAATACAAAAGTTAGCCAGGCATGGTGTCATGTGCCTGTAGTCCCAGCTACTTGCAGGGCTGAGACAGGAAGATCACTTGAGCCCAGAAGGTTGAGGCT